TAAGGGGTTATACTGGGATAATGGAAAAGAAAAAGGAAACTACCATTTAGGGTTTAGGGTTTAGGTGGGGATTATAGTGGAATAATGGAAAAGAAAATGGAAACTACTACATTATAACAGGGTAGGTTCATGGATGTCTGGGCTGGCCTGATTCTTTGCTCCTGGAGCAACAACCATGAGAGACCAAACTTGTCCGGGCAATTTGTGGTGGACATGTATCTACTGTGGCAATTGAGGTCGTGAGTGTATGCGCATGTGTGGTGCGTCAGGCATTGAAATAAAGAGGGGTCAAACGGATGGCTACCCATATTCGGGTTACAGCTGCCGTTGTTGTCACAGTCCTGAACTGTGATGGGAGGGTCAATGATGCACAGTGCTGGGTTTAAGGCCGAGGCTTCTGAAACCAAACAATTCTGCAGTGTGACATGCTGCTACTGCTAATCTTCCATCATTCCGAAACTGACCTCGCTGGGGTGCACATTTCCGACAGGGGACTGTCAATTCCGTGAACTGTACTCCTGAAAAAGCACTGTTTGTCCATAGTTTTCCCACAAAATTGCAAGCATACGTGTTGATGCACTCAGCCAGAACTTGTTGCACACTTGGCGTTTGGACTGCTGACCCTCCATGCTGGAGCCACCTCAGCAGCAGATTTATGCTCCGTGCTCGGAGGTTCAGGGTAATTCAAGCCCAATTCCCAAGTAGTTATAGCCCAGTAAAGACCATCTTGGGAAACTGGGGGGGCGATAAAGTGGGTTATAAATACAGCTATATTTAGGTTATGACGAGAATAGGTCTGAACCTCCAAGCTGGATTTCCTGATGTAGTTGATTGGTGTATAGGATTCGTTAGGCATGTTCGTGAGTGCATATGTTGGAAGTCTATTTGGGAAAGAAAGCTAGGTCTGGGAGAAGACACCTTACCTCGTATGGAGAGAGCATGTCAGCTTATAGTTTTCAGCCAGGAGAACCGAGAACCCCAAAAGGTGTTCGTCTGCCGAAACGTGGGCTCCACAGTTTAGCCTTCAGGGTTGGGGGTC